ATTGGCACACACTCCGTGATGAAGCTTGGACCTTTTAACCTTGGAGCAGTCCAGAGGACCATTTAATAAATTCTGCCGCTGCTGTCACCGCAAGACTCTGTCTCTTCCTGCGTTCTCAGTCTAATAGTGGTCACTTTACCATATCACCGCTTTTGGCATAGCTAACGCTGTAGTGGACGAATTGATGGTGATTAATAATAAAAGATGTAAGGGATTCTATGGTCTTAGATCTTTTTTTGTTTAGAACGTCATTTTCTCTATCTTTTGAGAGGTAACTGCCTGAACCTAGCATCAATTGGGCGATCCGGTTTGTTATGCAACAGGCAACTAGAATTGCTATTTTCACATCAGCTTATCTCTCCACAGAGAATCTTACTGAAGTCAAATGGCACTGAAAAACAGCCGAAAATAGCAGTGCACTGATAGTTCTATGGTTTGCTTCTCAACAAGTCCGTAGATACGCCCACCTTGTCATCGTCGTCTTGTCTTTTGATTCAGGCACAATAGGAACTTTTTTACTCTCAGCTTATCCTCGCAGGAAAATGCAGAAAGCTTTAGCTTCGTTTCTCATTCAAAGAGCCATAGGTAGGAGAATTAAACATGCTATGTATTCGTACGACGGTTTTTGCGCTAAACTTCGAAGTTTTAAGACTGCAAAGAGTCAAAGTCAATCACTGCAAAAGGATGTAGATATGGCACACTAACTTGTCCACAAAATAGCCAGGTCTTGATAAAAATTATCATTAGCTCTCAATCGCCCTTGCGGTCTACCCACACGAAAGTAAAGGTGTTGGTGCAAAATGGGAAGGCCAGAGAGGGAAAAGGAAAGAATATATCAAAACGGTTGAAGTTGTCATTTATTTGGTTTGGCTGCGCTGAGGCAATTAGAGACTGAGCATGCAGAATAGAGGAGGCAAGTGGGCACGCAGAACAGAGGACAGACGAGTGAGCACAGCAGATGGGAGGTTGCCAGACAACAGCCTGCTGCGGAAGAAGAACGTTGAAGCGGTTGAGGCGGTATTTGCGCTCTCTTGTTGTGTGCTTCAGTGCAGAGAAAAAGGGACATCAGCGACGCCGGTGAGCATCTCTATTCTACACACCAAATGTCATGCACCAGAGCTCATTTTTAGCTGTGCCTTTGAGCTTGAGAAAATAATACAGACAAGACGGCAACGTTGAGTACTGCTACACCATGTTTCCAGCGCTGAAAAAGAACCGCTTCCCAAGAGTGTGAGAGCACAGGCGTGCGGTGTATGGGTCTTCTTAAATACGCACTTAGCCGTAAATATCGGTCAGGACAAAAAGCTCGTGACACGAATAGGGTGTTTGCGAATAGTGGAGGCTCGGAAATGTGCGGGTCAACTCTAATTTTGTCAATCTCCATTTCCTTTGTGCCAACACCAGTGTGAGAAATAGATCCGTTTGAAACATACTATATGATTTGAGGCTACACTTTCTTCATTTATCTCGTCGGGGAACCCAACACTGGCCAGGAAGTCCAGGAAAAATACATCGTGACTCATGGTTAGGGGACTGGAATGAGTTAATCTGCTTGAAGTCATCACGCCGACCTCCGCGAATGGAAGCTCTTTTCGCTGAATTTAGGAGTCACTCAATGAACAGTCACATAATGAGAAAGATCACATCACATCATCCTTAGTCGTACATCCGTTTGACTAAGGTCACAGTAATTTCGAAGCGCTACTACCGTTTCCGTTGCGTAAAAAGAGCCTGACAACAAAGTTCTGCGTCTATATAAGGAGGACGATAGGGCGATGCAGTTCATAGTGTGCAACGTTTTGGTGGACTCATCTTTCACAAAAGTCCAGTGCAAAGGAAAGTGCCAGGACCAAGCATTGCTCCGACGACGGCCCATTATAATTTTTCATGTCCACGCGGTGAAGAGGCCCTTGAAGCCTTGATGGTATGACATGCTGTAACTTGTAACGTCTATCGCCATTAGGGACCTCTACAACTGGAGCGCTATGCATCAACTTGATAGCCGTGATTTCGTCGTTGCACAAGGAGGTCGCAGTGATTAAGAGAGTGGCTTGACAGAGGATCATCTCTTCTATAATACATCACTTCCGCTTTCTTCGGCAAAATTGTGCCGAGAACAATGGACGTACAATAGATGTTGATGGTTTTCGTACATGTATGAAGTCGGTTTGCAGCTCAAACCTCAAGATGACCAGATCCCCCCCCTTCGTAAAATTTACGCTTTCCGCTGTACTTTTTTCGCCACAAACACTTTTGTAGGAGGTGGGTGTGCACAAAAAAGCGTTTCATGAAGAAAAGGTCATTATCAAAGGATGACGTTAGAATTATTTTGATAATTGTTGCCCATTCTAACGTGATATCGTGGTTGTGATAACACCCACAACGTCTATAATAGGCATCCATTTAGCAAGCTCTCTTCCATAGCCAATAGTGCCCAGCGGCGCTTGGTGAGTGAGGAGAGGCTGAGGGGAGGAGATGGGAGGCAAACCAGGCTCATAGAATCAAGACTTGAGTCGGTACTATCAGCGAAATATTTCCTCAGAACGCTGAATAGTCATACTATATGACTAGCGCTTGGCAAGACAAAAAGCAACGTTTTGACACTTTAAACCTAAAGCACAGCAAGGCCAGGTTTTATGGCGTTGCACCGATGTTGTAATTCTAATAAGTTAAGTTACCCTCACAGAAAACAAAATGTTTCATCCTGGTTTGTTCACATACACGTACTGCCGCGGGAACTGCGTCTTGTGTTCTGCAGAAACATAAAACTACGACAGTTTGCCGAATCGTGTTGAATTTATTTGGTTTCCGGACTTGTTGGAGATCCACTTGTTTACGCTGTCAGAACTGGCTCAATTCAACTTTCTAGAAGAAGCATCTTCTACACTTATGCGAAAATGAAGGAATCACCTTGAGAAGTTGTTCGTGAAGGTGTTTGCTGGTTTCCGACAATGCCCTCTCTGTGCGTAGCTTCATAATCGTCAATTTTCTAAGAACGAGAATGGCACTGTACACTGGAGCCACTGGCAATGTCATGAGGAGAATTGTCAGCATCGCTTTCCAGTTAAAAATACTCAAATGACCGCTCACACACTCCGACTCCATATTATACGTGAACTTCTTTGCTAGCAACAATTTCACTTCGACCACATTGTCGCTAGCGAAACAGAAGGATACCTGAAAGTACTGGTGTATGTGAGCATCCAGTTCGGCACAGACTCTTTAAAGGCTAGACAACAAAATTTCAAGAGAAGAACTGCTTTCCCTTAGCGCGGGCAGATGGTAACTCGTGAGGCCATGCAACAGTTGTGTGCATGTGTTGCTAGGCTATTGCTGCAAGAGTCATAAAATGTGCACGATCGCCGATCTTCTGCATCTCCGCAGCGTGAGTCAACCACCTTATGATATTTTGTTAACTTTGCGGAGTACCTAGTCACGTTATGTGCACTGGCTTTGCTGGTGCATTAATCACTGAGCCGCGTGGAATGAACTTGAAATCAAGAAGTGCAACGACGAACAGGGA